ATGGAAATTGTTTCTTGAACATGTTTCTTTTAATAGTATGTAAGCTATAGAACACCAGTAATATGTTAATCTCTGGAGAATTTTAGCAAGGCACTAATGTGTGAATTTTGCTACAGTATTCTCTCTCACAAAAGTTGAAATTTGGTTCAAACCACCTGGTTTGAACCCTTAGTCTTTGTTTTCTTTATAGGTTTGAATCAAACCAAACTTTTTTTGCTGCAGTATTTTCTCCAACAAAAATTTAAACAAATTTGAATCTTTATTCAAACCTATAAACCAAACGAGCCGCCTGTAATTCTAAACTGAACCTCATGATTACTTTTTGTCTCTTGGGATGCTCAGGAATTTAATTTTTTTTTCTCTTCTAATCAGACTATATAATCTAATATGACAAACTTCTGTTGTTTTGTAGACATAGTTTTCTTTGATTTATATGTAATTATCACTTAAACTTGTTTCACTTTTCCCCAGGCTTATCATTTATGGTTCTTTAAATATCTCAGGTTTTGCAAAAGCTAGAACAGTATCTACCATTGTTGGAAAATTTGATTTTCCATGTCAATTTGGTTAGCAGCAACCGCCAAATAAGTCAATGGACGGCAAATCTTAAGATACAATGGAGCAGTGCTCTTTGCTCATCCTCTTTTTTTAATCTCAGGAGTCCAAAATTCTTTCAAATCGGTGACTTGAAGTTTGAGCTTCAAATGATGCTTTTCCTTTATGGGGCAATACTTCGGCAAAGGGCGGTGGAAATTTTGCCAGAAAGTAGGTATTGATGTTTCAGCGTCAAATTCTACATACTTTCTTACTGCCATATACAAACTTACTTGATTATTTTCTTTTCATTACCATAGACCTGGTGCAATCTGCCACCCTTTTTAGAGAAGCTGCCGGACTTTATCGTCACCTTGCTGATGAGAGTTTTGCTTCTTTACAACAACATTCTTTGCTTGTTGAAAAGCCACCAGAAATTCTCCCATCCGTTTCCACAGTCATGAACCTCATTTGTTTGGCCGAGGCACAGGTTAGTACTTTGGTTCTCTTTTACAGCTCACCTTCTTTTGCTTCGATCACTGGATCATTGCCTGAAAAATGCTTTACTCCTCTTGTATAAGGTGGTATTTTCCAAGTCTGTTCTATTTCCCCTTTCTCTTCAATTTGTTCATGTTTTATGTAAAATACGAGTTAAGCTTGTCTTTTGTGGGAATTGATGTTCTTTTGGAGGTTTTGCAGGCAGTTACTATAAGGCGGGCTGAAGAAAAAGGTACTAGTATAAGTCTCTTGGCAAAGCTGCACCATGGTGTCGCAGAGTTTCTTGATGAAGCTGCAGTTATTCTGTATGCAGCAATTGGAGAATGCAAAGATATATCTTCACGCTTTGTGGTATGTAAACATTTTCTAACAATTCTCTTTTCAATTGTATCTACTTATCTCTTGATGGAAAATCAACTATATATAAAGTGTGCCATGATTGTTATCCCTCACCGGTACCGGTACCAGTATCTCACAGTAAACTATGTTAGGCCCACTGATTAAGTATACTTAGTTACCAATTTTTTACTAACCCTTATTTTTTTTATCTACGAACTTCAGAAGATCCCTTTTAAATTTTCAAAAGATCCGATAAGATATTAGACTATTAGTGCCAAAGGATCAAAGTGAGGGTGATAGCCATGCCCTACATATATATATATATGTATATATATACTTTTTGTTTTTATATTTTACTTGTTTTCACTACTTGAGAGGTCCTTGATAATTTAGCTCCATAGGTCATGTGTGGTTCATCACCTAATCTTGGTGTCAATCACTACTTTGAGTAGCGAGTGTGATGATGTCCTATAGAAAGTTTTTGGTTTCGGTGGCAATATTCACATTCTTGTACTTCCATCTAATCATGGGTACTTATTCTGGATTGTGCAGGAATTCTTATCATCTTCCAGGGCATTACATAGGTTGAGAGGTCAGAAATACCATGCAGAAAGTCTTAAGACCGCTGGAAAAGTTGGGATTTCGATTGCTGTTCTTCGAGTTGCACTGACTGATGGGAAAAGGCAGATGCCAGGCGAAGAATCATGGAAATCAACATATAGAAAGGAAATTGATGATACTGCTGAGTTGCTCAGGAAGATTGAGCATGAGAATGGATTTGTCTGGCGCGAAAAGGTGCCTTCCAAAGAAGAGTTGCCATTGTGTGAGGGTAACAAAATTGTGAGTTCTATACCTTATCAACCCAAAAGATGGGAGAGAGAACTTGCTTTCAAGATATAAATGTACAGCAATTATAATGCACATCTATTGGTTCTGGAGAAGCAAAATGTTGTCAGCTTTATGATCCCTCCTTTACTTGGGAAGTTCAATTGAATGTATAGACCAATATTTTTGTGATCTTGAACATGATTGATTATACCAATTACAAATTCTAAACTATTACTAAATTCATCGCCACTGGCATTGAATGTTACGAACTTTTTGTTCAAGTTGACACTGTCGAATGCACGTCAGTCTCAAACAAGGATCCTCTATCGACTTTCTCTGTCTTTTTTATCAGAAGAATTTTCAGCTATACTCTACCAGTCGCTGGATTCTTGGTTGCTTGTTTGCTTTCATTAAGGGTGAACAAAATCACCGTCTTCAAAGCTTTTGCTGATAATGGACTTATAGAAATTTGTAATTTATTGTTAGATCTTTGGTAATGAAATAGTGTTGCTAGTATCAGAAAAGATAAAGAAAAGACTATTAACTCAAAAGCTCATGTTCAGTGTTAAATAAAATTAATTGTATAAAGAATCAATGACAATATTTCTCAAAGTTACAAATTATTTTAACAAAAAAAAATAAAGACGTTTGGTTCATGGAGTAGAAATAACAATAGCAATTACATTTTTTATATGGAAAATAACTAGAAAGTAGAAATAGCAATAGCAATTACATAATCATTGTTTGGTAATTAATATTTAATTTATTAGTAATCACTAATTATTATTAATTTTCATTAATAAATTATAGATTTTTAATTAATAATTGTAACGACTCCTCACGGGCCGTCACAGTTATCTTAACTTTCAAACATTTACCTCTTAAAAGAATGCGGAAAAATAGTTAGCTTAAAACACTTTACTTTGAATGACTTAAAGAAAGGCCTAAATTTTTTTTATATTATAACTTTAAAAAGTTTAAACCTCATCAATGAAAAATAATCTTTAGGTTCAACTCATTTATAAAAATCCATACCGTAAAATAAAATAAAATAAAAAGATCTTAAGTATTCTTCAAATCAAAACCACCATAAACCAAAGTTTCGAAACAATAAAAATGAAAACTAAAAACCTTGTTTAACATTAAACACTTTCATCCCATGATCGTTTCTCCCGTTTTCCTATCACGCATAGCTCGCATCCGCCCTAATATCCTTTATGGCTACATCTTACCCTTTCGATTGTCTGTAACATGAAATAATTTATATAAGCAAGGGCTTAGTAAGACACTTAATTCTCACAAATGTAAATAAACATTTTTATTCATCATCAATAAACGTCATCATGAGAACAATTATTTTTGAACATATTTTAAACTTTAAAATCCATCATATATTGGGCCCGACGTTGTACCATCATAGCGCGCTAGCCACGGAAAGCATGAGGTAGCAAATCCCATACCAACCGTGGCAATAAGACCACTCACCGGTGACCATTAAGGGTGTACAACGCCATTTAAAACATAGAAATACATATATACATTTTTCTTCAAAACGTCATCATAAGAGAAATATTAAAAGCGTCATAACATCATCATAAACATCAAAATCATATACTTCTCAATTATTCGATTCATGTTGCAGGTGAGAGTGTATTTACTTGAGTGCCTTACTTAACCTTTTTAAATTCACAACGTTGACGCGACGAATGAAGTCCTCGGGTGCTCGCCTCTAGAATCGTTCATGCCATAAATCATAAATAAGATTACTAAAAAAAGCCTTAACAACTCATCAAATACATTGATCACATTAAAACAACGTTTAATATACCATTCTCACCATTCATTAATATCAAGACATAAAAACCCACTGATCACACAAAATCACAAAACTTAACAAAAACTGGCAGCCTGACCTTTACTCATTTAAAAACTCATAAAGATTCACATATAACTCCAAATGATCTGAAACTAATTTCAAATTAAATTAGACATCTAGAGCTTTCTAACGGTATCTAATTTGTTAAAAACGGAGTTCGTTTGCTCCCTGAAACCCTGTTTTAAAATCAAACATAAAACCTGAAGAAATTCCAGCACTCAAACTAGGACGAAAATTCACCAAAAATTTTATAAAATACAAAACCATCCTCCTCAACATGTATAAACAGCACTCCATCTATTATTCAACCTTATGACATATTTCTAATACATAGAAACATAGAAGTATGCATGAAATCACTCCTAGACACGTCCAAAATTTTTGACTTCTTAAACTAGGGTGCAATAAGGCCAATGAAAATAGAGATCCTAGCATCACACACAATATATATACAAGTCTATAAATGATTCCTCTAAATAAAATCGACAATTTGAAAATGATTAATTAAATAAATAAGAATACATGGGTCTGAAAATGATTAAAAAAAAAAACAAACAAACAAACACAGCCAACCCATCCACCCATATACGTAATATCATAAGCAACATAGCAGTGGTATAATCTCACTCAAACATCATCTCATGTCTCTCCTCTTTCTTAAACAAAAACCATCATTGACAATCAAATCTGTACCCTTAAAGAATTCGAAATCAAAAGAATAAATAATAAGTGCAATCATACCTTAACGATTTTCTTTATCTTGATTGCTAGGAGAATTCAAAAAAAAAGATTAAGAGATGAGCTTGATGACTGATTATGGAGGTTCTCTTGTGATTTTTTTTTTTTTTTTTTTTGTCGTGAAAGAGAGGATGAGAGAGAGAGAGAGAGAAAGAGAGAGAGAGAGAGGTATGGAGAAAGGATTAGGAAACTGAAAAAAATGATAGACCTGACTGCTTAAAAGAATAAGATTTTCATTGGTCAACATGTATATAAAGAGAAATTTCCAGCAATTGATTCCAAATAAATTTTGGGATTAACTTGAATGCTATTTGGCTTAATTTCGGCGATTATAGTCTGTCATTGAAGCAATTAATCCAAGAAAATCCACACCAACTACTCCCCTCCTTTCCATTCCTCTTCCCACATGCAGATTACTCTCCTTTATTGACCATGAAAAATCCAAAACATATCTAATAAGGCTATATAAGCCAACTATGAATATGCCATCTTTCATCCTATTGTACGTGTGTGTATATATGTCATATAAAAGAACATATCATCAAATCATAGCATCATACAAATTCATAAAATCATGAGAATAAATTTGAAATCATATAAAATTTCCATAAAATGACATGAACTTGTTATTAGCATCTCGAGTCTTCATCGCGATCACCTGTGGAATTGAACTCATTGTGATGTTAGAATTCACTAAATATAACACCATAACATTATTCAAGTTAATTCCTAACATTTATTTTTAAGAATTTTGTCAATTAGAGAAATGGGTGTTACAATAATTAAGTATTTAGTATTTATTTGTTTATTATTAATTATTTACTAATTAATAATTAGTTTATTATATAATATATAATTAATTATTCAATGTAACGCTGTTGATAAATTTAAGAAAATGAAAACAGAAAAAAAAACAACTTTCAATCATTAATAATTCTTTTCTAAAAATTATTTTCATAATTTTTTTATTTTCATTTTATTCTCAAAATATTTGTAAAATAAACACAGTTGAAAGACACTTTAAAATACCAACGTGCAAGGCACGTGGCCAAATCAAATCCATTAGGATTCTCTAGCCCTACTTCTATGTATCTCTGGACTATTCGGCAGCCCCTTTTTTAAATTAAAAATTCAAAAAAAAATAACTCAGAGTTACAATTTTATTTAAGTTCATGTTCTTTTAAGTTTGAACTCGAGTTTGAATTCGAGTTTGGGACTAAAACTCGAGTTCAAGTTTCCCCTTCAACTCGAGTTCAGAAACTCGAACTCAAATGAATGAACATTATTTTTTCTATTCTTAAAAAGGTTATAACTTTTTCGTTTTAATTATGATTGAGATGATTTTTTTATACGTTGATAACGAAAAGACGAATAAAACCTCACCCGTATACCTTATTAAAATTTTTCATCAGCATTGAGTTTTTATTAAAATACTATCTAAATATAAATTCAAGTTTTGAGTTACTCAAATATAAACTCAAAAAGATTCTTATATCAAATCATAATTCAAATGTACACAACTAAATACAAACTCAAGTTACAACTTCAACTCAAATTTTAACTCAAACTCAACTCAAAATTTACACTTAAATCACCTAACTTAAAAAGGCAAAAGAACAGCCCCTGTGATTATCGAAACAACTTAACTCAACTCAAAGAAGAAAACTTGGAACCATCAATGGCCGCTATTCCGGGCGTTAATTCTCTTCCCTTTTCTAATTTACCACTGGCTAATCAATATAAATTCATTGATTAACCAATATGAATTAGTAATCTATATATATATATATATATCTCCATTTGTCTGAAAAAATAAAAATTTTGGTTATTTATAAAAAAGGGTGGCCAAAAAAGGGCCTTTTGCCTAAGGGGCTTTTATTTGTTATTATTAATTTTTTTTGGTTGTTGTTGATGAAGTTTAGGACTTTTTGGTTTAGGGGAATAGTTGGTTGTGGGAGGTGGGTGGGTTGAAAATATTGTTTGATCCAATTTTGAGGGAAATTTGGATTTTGGAATACCCTGGCTTTATGATGCTGCCAAGAAGTTTCTGAAGAATTTTTCAGGTACTTTTGTTTTTTCTTCTCTACCTGTTTTGTTAAAAGGAATTTAAGATAAAAGTTATGGGCTTGTTCTAATTGTGTAAATGTTTAATGCAGTTAAGTGATCTTCCTGAAATTGATTGCTTGCTGATGACACAAAGCCTTGATGATCACTGTCATTTTAAGGAACTGCTCGATCCCCTTTTCAGGAATGTAAGTACTCTTTAGTATTTTTTTTTTTTTTTTTAAAAAAGGAAAAGAATAGGAAAGAAAAAAGGTACTCTTATCTTTTTTTTTTTCTCTATCCAGGTTGCGTATGTTGAAGTAATTGCAATCTTCTGTGACTTACAGAATTTTTCTGATTTGATTGTGAAGTAATCAATTAAAAATGGGCTTGGTAGTTTGGTTATTAATTTATACTAGTGAAACACTTTTGTAATTTGTTTGCTATAATTTCTTCAACCATCTAGCTCTTGCTAAAAAGTAAAATAAAATAAATTGGTGATTTGCTTTTCGTTAAGGAAGTTGAAGTTCTTAGAACTCCTTGGAAGAATGTATTTAGAACAATCTTATAGTTATCTTCTCTCCACA